ATATATACATCGCGGTAGAATGACAACTCCACCAACACTGTTGTGTTGTTAAACGTAAAATATATGATGTCAACGTGGAACTGGTTCTTGGGATCTCTATGGAAAGTTGACTGGTTGGCCTAGGGATGCAGGTTCCCCTGGATGCCCTTTAACCTCTCTGACCCCAGATCGATATGATGCAAGAAACGCCAGCTGAACTGAAATGCGCGAACAAGCGCGATGCTGGGGAAAAAGAACATGAAAAAATATCGATCCTAATTGATTGTGCCGTCGAACTACTTGCATAAAAGTGTTTACGTTCGTTTTACTTATTTCTAGGCTCAATCAGGTACTAATTTCCACTCTATAATTGCTCCGCGTTTGTTTATGTGATATCTTTGTAGATACTTGAGATCCACTTTGATCTAGCATGAATACTGCCTACTTGGAGAAGCTAACTTTTGATAATTTGCTCGCTGAATACCCCTCATTTCACTGGATTGAATGATGGCTCAAAAGCATCTAGACCAAACTGACAGAATGTGCCGTTGATTGAGGAATATCGTACTGATGACGTCTTCAAAAGAACAATATAAAGTTTTGCGGAATTAAACCAGAGCGCATACATCACGACAGGAGAATTAAACCGTCAATCAGTATAATCAGCGTGTACTCTTATGAAAAATAAAACCATTCCTGGCTGTAAGAGGTTTATACGAAACGCAATTTCGCACCTCCGAAAAGCTGACGAACCAGGGCAGATTCTATCGATCAGCCTTTAGGAGGCATAGCATTTTCAGAAAAAATTTCACACAACATTCTCGAGAAACGCACACATTTGCAAATCAATTTGGTTTATATGGGAAACTCAATTGGATTTCTCGTTAATGATGTCTTCTAACTAAATCTGCTGTGGGCCGTATTCGTATTAGTTTCTGTCTTCTTTTGTGTACAGTGAATGTGTGCAACAGTCAGAAGGAATATCTGCACTCACCCACAGCACGCAACTGTTGCGTTAATACTTGACTAGTTCTGATTTGATCCGTTTATTCAAAAGTCATCACTGACACATTCTGTGCGGTGGTCTCATAACTCTAGGCACCACCTCTCTGCTCAATTCGTGTGCCTCTACAGGAAACCGTAAAAGTCATGTTTTTTATTCTGTCCAAACCGACGACGTTCATCTTGAAATAACATCAGTCGAACTGAAAAACGGTTACTCTTGTTTCGCACAGAGAGTACCTGTTTCAAGTTCCAAGTTCCGTGGTAAAACAGGTTATCCTAGCCGGTATATTTACTGAGTAGTATAAAACATACGTGGATGAAAGAAACAACAGAGATGTTGCTGCCACTGAGGACTGTGAACCGAAATATCTAGCCGATAGTCGAGCAAAGGGATTAATTGCACAATTGCTTTTCATGATATCCAACTGACCAAAAGAGATGGCAAAAGCACTCATGAACTGGTCACCACCTCCATTCATTCAGTTTTTTGCTATAAAGGAGGTTTAGTTAGGACATCACAGGATAGAGCGATAAGAATTTGCGTGGAAATTATCACCGGCACCGAACTGAAATATCTGGAGGGGATAGTTCACTCAAACGGGTTATCACCTGAATTTGTAGACGTATAAAGATTGCTTTCACTAAAGAAGGTATGGATCCGCTTGGTCTGGAATGCAGTTTTGTTGAATTCAAATTTCAGGGAAAGGATATTGATGCGTCGGCAGAGGAGCGTTTGCCGTCAGCTGTTAAACGAACTTACCATTCTGCAAGGCCTGCAGTCACACGCAACTGCGACCGAATCCCAACCGCTGTAGGAAAAGTCCCAGGAATTTGGTGTGCTATCTCCAGTCTCACTTTCCGTGTAGGTTTTGGCCACCTCTCTTGGAAAAACTGGAAGATACCTTCGAATAAGAAAGGCAGAATACTTGCCGATTTGCATAGAGAAGAGTACCAATCAGTCCGCCTCATAATGCCGAAATACAACTTCATATTCGGAGACAGGTGCCCGATCGATACTGGTTTCATTGATAAGTTACTTGAAAGTGGGTGTTATGTTGATCTGGCGGACACGTCTCACACGACGTACAGGACTACAAACGGTAGAGCGACACAGTTCGTTGTGTAGACAGAAAGTACCCATCGTATCGTTGGCATTGTCTTAGTAACTGGCTTACTTTTGACGTTCCGATGCTAAAGATTTGTTCTGTTTCATTTCTTGTCTGGTATTATTTGGTGGTGTATACCCGAAGTAATACAATGGAATACACTTGACATATCGTGTAATATCTCATTTTTCCTGCACTCTTCTCAAGTTTATAACAAGAAAATCATGTTTCAAGTTTGAAGTGACCTTGGTTTCCGGTTCTAGGGTTAATCCTGAACAATCGGAATTCGGTAAAGTGCATGGATTACTGAGTCACACCGTCTCAGAGTACTCTACGATCAGGTTTGTTTCAGTGCCACAAAGTGTTCTCATCGAAAAATTGGACGCTTCGTTATTCTAGGATTTTCGAACTTCTCAGGCATCCAGTGTAGCTGAGAAATTTCGATGAGCTGATAAGCGTTCATTGGCAAAATAATGACCAACTGGCTATGAAATAAACGATTTAATTGAAGCAAATGTCTTTTGGGAGTTTAACGTTCAGCTAGCTCCCTTTCACTGTGTTCATATATCCCAGAAGGCGAGAGTGTTCCCATGCAGATGGCAAGTACATCTATTTGACCTGCATTTCCGCACTCAAGTTCGCTCAGTGAGGGTTCGTTGTTTGGCACTGGAGTGTAACACATCAAAACTCACTTTATGTGTGGAGTTTCATACATTTCAGTCACAGTCCGTTGCCTGTGATGATCTTCTTTCTGGCATACTCATCCTTGGTGGTTTTAAACCTCTGAATTAACTTAATGATGCACCCCTGTTTTTGTAATCAATTCGATTCCGGTCTAAGCNGCTAAATTAAAATGTATGACATTGAAGTAACAACTCAAAGATCCGGGAGTTTGACGGATGACAAGGATTTGAACACAACGGTCAGACGTTGTGGAAAACCTAGACGAGTTTTTCTAGAAATTCCCAAGGTGTTAAAGCAGCTACCATCCAACGAACACGACTTCGTTGGTTATTATACGGATTCTCTGGTTGAAGAGTTTTCAGCAACCTTGTGAGTAGTTTCTTTTATGAAAGTATCACACAACATCTTGGGGCTCGTTCTTTACTGTGATATACGATATTAGAAGCCTGAGCCACCAGCTTACTCTTAACGTGTAGGGCAGAAAGTTGCTCTACATACATGATGTTATAAGCAACTCTGTGTACTGCTGGGACTTGAAAACGAATCGAATAGCTACCACTATCCAGACGTGTTGCGACACATCCCAGGTATACTGCAAATCGTGATATATTTGATGGTCCTCAAAAGCGCAGACGTTAAGTTTACACCAAAGTCGCGCGCGATATGACTGATATAGAGTATTGCATAGTTGTGTACAGCACAATCCTAAATCTTTTAGAAACTTGTTTTAACATCCGTTTCTGTTGTATGGCTTCATGTCTCCAGTCCATATAACGCTATCAATGTGGGCCGTATTCGTATTAGTTTCTGTCTTCTTTTGTGTACAGTGAATGTGTGCAACAGTCAGAAGGAATATCTGCACTCACCCACAGCACGCAACTGTTGCGTTAATACTTGACTAGTTCTGATTTGATCCGTTTATTCAAAAGTCATCACTGACACATTCTGTGCGGTGGTCTCATAACTCTAGGCACCACCTCTCTGCTCAATTCGTGTGCCTCTACAGGAAACCGTAAAAGTCATGTTTTTTATTCTGTCCAAACCGACGACGTTCATCTTGAAATAACATCAGTCGAACTGAAAAACGGTTACTCTTGTTTCGCACAGAGAGTACCTGTTTCAAGTTCCAAGTTCCGTGGTAAAACAGGTTATCCTAGCCGGTATATTTACTGAGTAGTATAAAACATACGTGGATGAAAGAAACAACAGAGATGTTGCTGCCACTGAGGACTGTGAACCGAAATATCTAGCCGATAGTCGAGCAAAGGGATTAATTGCACAATTGCTTTTCATGATATCCAACTGACCAAAAGAGATGGCAAAAGCACTCATGAACTGGTCACCACCTCCATTCATTCAGTTTTTTGCTATAAAGGAGGTTTAGTTAGGACATCACAGGATAGAGCGATAAGAATTTGCGTGGAAATTATCACCGGCACCGAACTGAAATATCTGGAGGGGATAGTTCACTCAAACGGGTTATCACCTGAATTTGTAGACGTATAAAGATTGCTTTCACTAAAGAAGGTATGGATCCGCTTGGTCTGGAATGCAGTTTTGTTGAATTCAAATTTCAGGGAAAGGATATTGATGCGTCGGCAGAGGAGCGTTTGCCGTCAGCTGTTAAACGAACTTACCATTCTGCAAGGCCTGCAGTCACACGCAACTGCGACCGAATCCCAACCGCTGTAGGAAAAGTCCCAGGAATTTGGTGTGCTATCTCCAGTCTCACTTTCCGTGTAGGTTTTGGCCACCTCTCTTGGAAAAACTGGAAGATACCTTCGAATAAGAAAGGCAGAATACTTGCCGATTTGCATAGAGAAGAGTACCAATCAGTCCGCCTCATAATGCCGAAATACAACTTCATATTCGGAGACAGGTGCCCGATCGATACTGGTTTCATTGATAAGTTACTTGAAAGTGGGTGTTATGTTGATCTGGCGGACACGTCTCACACGACGTACAGGACTACAAACGGTAGAGCGACACAGTTCGTTGTGTAGACAGAAAGTACCCATCGTATCGTTGGCATTGTCTTAGTAACTGGCTTACTTTTGACGTTCCGATGCTAAAGATTTGTTCTGTTTTGGATTGGTGAGACAAACTGTCTCAGAGTACTCTACGATCAGGTTTGTTTCAGTGCCACAAAGTGTTCTCATCGAAAAATTGGACGCTTCGTTATTCTAGGATTTTCGAACTTCTCAGGCATCCAGTGTAGCTGAGAAATTTCGATGAGCTGATAAGCGTTCATTGGCAAAATAATGACCAACTGGCTATGAAATAAACGATTTAATTGAAGCAAATGTCTTTTGGGAGTTTAACGTTCAGCTAGCTCCCTTTCACTGTGTTCATATATCCCAGAAGGCGAGAGTGTTCCCATGCAGATGGCAAGTACATCTATTTGACCTGCATTTCCGCACTCAAGTTCGCTCAGTGAGGGTTCGTTGTTTGGCACTGGAGTGTAACACATCAAAACTCACTTTATGTGTGGAGTTTCATACATTTCAGTCACAGTCCGTTGCCTGTGATGATCTTCTTTCTGGCATACTCATCCTTGGTGGTTTTAAACCTCTGAATTAACTTAATGATGCACCCCTGTTTTTGTAATCAATTCGATTCCGGTCTAAGCACAAGTTAAACCGCCTAGAATGTCGACTTTAAATGCTCGGCACGTTTCCCTCGTCACATAACACAGGTTATACTGACAGTCCGGAGTCCTCAGTCCTGGCTTCAAAGTGTTCGCGAGACCGTTTTCCCTCTCAAACCACTTTTTGGTAACGGTTTCTTCGATCGACTGGCCGAACGTCTGATCGTTGGTAAAGGCTTCAACGAAATGGCTAACTTGTCGTTCCAAGTCAAACTCGGTGCTAATGTGGACCGGACAAATGATGAACAAGTGCTCCGAGGTTTTGTGGAGCACAACGAAGAAGTAAAACGGGTAGTTCAAAAGGATCGGCTTTTGGTGTTTGATGTCAAAGAGGGCTGGGGACCTCTCTGTCGCTTCCTCAACCTACCCATTCCACAACAGCCATTTCCTCATGTGAATGAGAGAAAAGTAATGATTTCCAGATTGCGAAAGCTTAAATACGTGCCAGCTGTATTGAAATACACCACCTATGTGCTCGGTGGTCTCCTGATTGCTTCACTATTTCAGTTTCTTTGTTCACACAAAATTTTCTAAGTGATTTCGACCTAGCTTTTATCTTGGACGTATGCAAAAACAGTCCTTTTGAATCATTTTACTACCGTTGAACTTTGAGTTGTGACCACACTTTTCTGGAATGATTCATGCTACTCCATCATCTCGACCTGGTAAAGTTACTTCAGAGTCAGATAATACCCTCCAAATGATTTATCGCTTATTCCACAGAATATTCTTCTTCTGACGGTTGTTAGTGTTGCGCACGTTGGACGACAGCGGTTTCTGAGTTGTCATCCACCGTAGTCATGGAAGGCATTCTGAACAGGTTACAGGTTCGCTACATAATAAAAGTTTTAAACAGTTAAACTCAGTTTGAACCTACTGTTCAAACAAACGGCCCATTCCAGCTTGTTTACATCTTTGCACTTGCTGAACGAAGATCTTTGCAACGGAATTTATCCACAATCTTGGTCATTTCAATGTCAGTTTTAGAACAATGTACAGACACTCCTACTGCTTTGACCCTATATGAAACAACTTTACTTTGCGGTCAATTTCCCCCTGGAGAAGTTTTATTTGTCTCCAGGAAGCACGAGCAACGTTGTTTAACATCTGCCCCAAGGTTGAACCCTGTAGGCCGCCTGCAGACCACGTAGCTCAACATCGGGTTAAACTGTTGCAAGCCAAATTGTTAGTCGTCCTCCGCTACAACACCACAATTCTCGGTAGGACACTGGCGACATGAAGCGTTCAGACGCTCTGGTTAAGAAACTCTGCGTCTTCGAAGACCGGAAGACAGGTTTGTGTAACAACGATGTGGACGTCATCGATGCACGCAATGAGCTTCACTCAAAGGCTGATTTCCGGACTCTTTCACAAAGCAATGTTGCATGTGTGCTTTCCTTCTGTTGTAGATTCAAGCGTCTGTGTTTTGGCGCGCTTGACCACTAGTGAGGAAGCCCATATATTTGGCTGGGTTTACGGGCTCTCAGTTGACACTAAATGAGATAGACTGGACATCCATTTACATGATGAAGAACTTCACCCTTCCATGATCTGTTTCTGGTCCAATCTGGCGTAGTGACTGACATGGTGAACAATATGCCACAGTCATACACTCATTTACTAACTAATTTGGTTTTTCGAGAGACTCACCTGGAACCCAGCTGAATCTCTCGTTTGTGATGTTCTCAGTCAACTGAATGTCCTGCAACAGGCCGCCTCATGTTTCAGTCGCTACGGTATTCGAGATATCGCGATACATGTATATCTTTGTAATGTACCACTGATAAGGTTGCTGAAAATCCGTCGACAGCCCACGACTGAAACATGAGGCGGCCTGGTGCAGCAGTTCAGTTGCTTGAAAACATCACAAACGAGAGATTCAGCTGGGTTCCAGGTGAGTCTCTCGAAAAACCAACTTAGTTAGTAAATGAATGTATTTTGCTAATATGCTACATTTTTATTGGATCCCTACTCGGGACGACCATATCTTAAGTGAAATCAAGGTCCGTGATTCAAGTGGTATGGAACCCACTGAGGAGATGCCATCAGTCAATGGTGACCTTGAAAGGCGTTATTGAAATTGGCAGCTCTCACGAACGCAGGATGTCAAAACAAACTCGTAGTCTCTTTCCCACGTACTCGGATGCGGAGCTTGTACCTGAGTGTTGGGTCATGGTTAGATTCGGTGGCTTATATGATAAACCATAAACCTCCGACATAGAACAATAATTCCTTGTTGACTAATTCGGACGCCGCAGGAAAATCAATTAAACAAGCGATCGTTGGTTGCTGAAACACGTAGCGGTGTTCCGAAACAAGATGTAGTGTAGATTTTGGGTTAACGCAACCTATTCAGCACAGAAATCCCTCTGATTTGGTTTCATGTGAGACTTCTGTGAGGCGGAGCAATAGCAATTGGGTACAGATTTTGGCCGTGTGACGTATCGGGCTGATAACCTGGTGGTTCTCATGAGCCATTCCGTCTCCTGTTTGAAAGCGTTTTGGTAGCACTTTAGAGGCAACCTACCTCACCAGACACAATTCGGCTCTTCATACGTAACAGAAAAGCTTTCAAGTAAGTTCGAGCTGGGTTATGTCGATTTCCACCGCAACACTGTACTCACCTGAATACTTTTTGTTCCTTAGTGGCTTGTTCTTATTGGCCATTTTGCATTGGCTTGGGGCGTTGAAATTGACAGTGTATGATCTGGAGGTTGTGGTGTCTAGTGAGTAGTTGATAGCTAGGTTGGCAATTAAGCAGTGGGCTAAAGTGTTCAGCCAACCATCCCAGCTTTCTTAGTCCAATCATCGTTGGTTGTCGGTGCCTCGAAGTCTATTTTTCTGACATTGTCGTTGGCCTAACCGCTCACCTGGAAGCAATACGAATGATTACCGGAAATTTCAACTCTCTCTAGGCTGGAAGCTGTTTCTGACCAGTAATGCGCACGGTTTTTCCTAGCTGAACGGGTGGCCCGGCGACCTAAGCTCCGGAATGAGAAACGTACGCTGTATCTGGCTGGACGCCCTGCTGATACAGATGGTTTTTGGAGATTTCATCTTTTCATTATCAAGATTTAAATTGAGAAGTGCATGCATACATTGTTGTGTGGACATCGTTTGACGGAGCCAGTCATCTGAGGAAAAGGGTTGAACCAACGCGAAGTGACAACTTAGCGGTAGGCCGGCTAATGACCGTGTCTGGGAGCCAAATGGGTCCTCGGGGTGGCTGAAGTTGATCCGTTTGTAGGTCGGAGTTTGCGCCGAGTAGTAAGGTGAAGCTTGAACCTTGCACCTACAAGGATATGGTCTGCAGCACATTTATTCCCGGTTTGTGTTCCACGGCAAAACCTACAGTCTTCAACAGATGATGCTAATCGGACTGGCTTTAGGGTGCAATTCATTTGGGAACTGGCTTGACCATCATTGAAATACCCAGTGATTTGATGTCTCCTGGGAATCTAAAAGCATGTGCTGCGCATCATAAGTCGGTTGCAGTCGTCATTTGCACAGCGTTCTCTTATGCCGAACTCCGCACGAATACAACATGTGTCATCGGTTGGAGCTCCAGTTTTGGTCTTCTACCCGCCAGTAGCTATCGATATATAGTTGTCGGATGTCTGCTTCAGCACTCATTGTGGGAGCATCAGGGTCTCTGGTGGTCCAGTTAGTTGGAGAACCTTTGAAATGAGTAGTCTCAGTTCTGGACGATGTTGACTCTCAGGAGAATAAGTTACCTTGCGTGTGTTTGTTATGGTATAGAACCACACTGTACAGGCCCAGTATATCAATGGACTGCTATGATGAAGCCAACAGAAGACTTTTATCGCCAATAGGATGGAAGTAGTTAGTTGGTGTGTTGCGAAGCGAGACCAAGAATCCGTGTCTCTGGAAAGAACGTAATGTCGAACTGGTAGTCAAAAAGGTATGTACAGTGGAACAACAGTGCAACAAGAGTAAGTGAACTGATTATTGGGGGAAAATATTCAAATGGAGACCCAAGAATTTAGGCCCACCTAATAGACCCCAACAGAAGCGAAACCGGTCGCGGGTACCTCATGCTACTGTTCAACATTTTAGGCAGTGTTAGAAACAACCAGCTGGGTGTGATGGACAAGTCGGTTAACAGCAGGCCAACAGATATTGATTACGTAATAGCCAGCCCACTTTGACTCGTGTAATATGTGTGAATCGAGCAAGTATTCACCTAGTTTTTGCGTAGCCTTCATTTGGGGAAGAACTATGTCCATAACAATCTGAATTGTTTAGTTGTGGCAAAAACGAATACTTGACATCAGACGCAAACGGCCCGGTATGAGAGCATCTAAATTCACTTTAAAAGTGAGTTTTGCCTTACTCCTCAAGGTAGAGCCAGCCGCCATTGCTTAAATTGTACAATTGTTTTCCCTAATGGTCGATGTAATAGCAGTTTGATTAGCCTTATTTAACCCTCAAACACCATCGTATCATAACAAAATTCCGTCACATCGACGGTAATATTGCTTTTTAACAGAAGATTTAAGCTGATGGCATAATGTGACTGTGGTGAACATTGACTCTATTCTATTCATTCTGTTTAGTGTATTTTTATATGCCTTCGTTTTACGATGCGATTGATGGTACGCCCGCGATATCCGAGAATATACGATATTCATTCGTCCATATTCGGACTTCTATACTACGCGTACATTCGGTAGTTAAGATACCTACCACTATTCTAATTATCACAGTGACTTAAGCATGCTTGTCATGTAAATGGATACAAATACTCATTTTCCAAAAATTTAGTCCTCATTCAACAAGGAAATCGTAACAAATTAAGACGGAAAACATTCAATGCGAAATAAAGCCAGCACCGTTAAATTGTTTTAAACCATTTCCTCGCTCGCAGTGAAAGCCCATCTTTTCTTGGTTTGTGAGCTTCAACCATTTAACCGTTTTTTTCTTGGCTCGTGCACAATTGCAATTTGAACGCGCGCGCCTCCTGGCTTGTGCACAACCAACCAATCAGAATACAGGTTTTTGCATAAATCGCATGCTCAAATGAGAATTTTCGGCCGAAATACAGTTGGTACTTGGCGCTGTAATTATGCACAAGGTTTCATAACATATCTTAGTAATTAGGTCATGAAAGATTTTTTATTGAATACGAGCTACGCACTGTATCTTCAGTAACGCCGGACTTCACATAAAAAGCGGATTAAAATAGTCTGACTGTTCCACCACTTTACGTAGTTCGAATGATTGGAGTTTGTTTAAGGACATCATTCAAGTGTTCGGGCCACGTCCACACCGCCACACCACAACAAAGTTGAGAGTGGTTTTGAAAATTCTTGGAAACTTTGCTACAATACCACGATGAAGGATTGAGTTTTTATTAAAACAGGACACTAGAATATCTCTCTTTTCTTGCCCCCAACCAAGGGCAGTGAAGTAGCGCACTACTGGCGCCAAATACTCCCACCCAATGACACCAAGGTTTTCAGCTGCATGAATCAAACGATGTCAATTTTCTGCCTGCATTTTAGTTCGCTACAAATTATGAAGAGACAGTGTGCATGTAGCCATCCTATGGGTGTGGCGCACCTGTTTGAGAATATGAGGATGCTTAACACCAGGAATAGGTGTCGGTGACATGAGTAATTGACTACTCAGTGAGAAACAACGTAGTTACCATGTCAATTCACGT